AGACGACTTAAAATATTGCAAACTATATGAATCAGGAAAGCAAGATGAAGGAAGCGAATTCCAAAGAACTGATGTTCGAGGAAAAAAACTAGACAAATAAGAGTTTATGGAGCACTTAGGAACAGTAACAGAAAAAGGATGAGACTTAATTGAATGATGAGTAACACGAGAATGAATTTTAGTAGATGGCACAAGAGACGCTAGCTCTTTAGAGCAGTGCCCATTATAGTATTTGTAGAAAAGAGAAAGAGAAGCAACATTACGACGATGTGAAAGAGGTTGAAGGTTGGCTGCAAGAGCAGGTCCAACTATGTTTACAATGCGTTTTTGCACCTTGTCTAAAAGAGAAAGGGCATCATTAGAAGATCCGCCCCAGATATGGCAACAGTATTCCATACAAGGCCGGATTTGAGATTTATAGAGATAGAGAATAGAATCCAGAGTAAGAAAGTGACGAGCTCGATAAAGAGAAGCAACTTTAGCAGATGCTAATTTTGCAACGGATTTGATATAAGGTTTCCAAGAAAGATCAGAAGTAAGAGTTAATCCTAGAAGATGAAGGGTAGGAGACTCATCGAGTACATTACCGTTCATAAATATAGGAAGGTCTAAATTATTGCGATAACGATTGGCCGAAAAAAATTGAGTTTTATCTGAATTAAAGTTCACCAGCCACTGCGAGCCCCATGCTGTAGCAGAAGTGAGATCCTTTTCGAGCTCAGATTGCCCCTGCAAGCAATCAGAGGGAGTTGGCTTCTTATCGTGACAAGAATAAATGGTAGTATCATCAGCGAACAATGCCACCTAAGATGTGAGAATATCTGGAAGATCGTTAATGTAAATTAAAAAGAGTATAGGGCCAAGGATTGAACCTTGGGGAACCCCTGAGGTTACAGAATAGGAAGAAGAGTGCTGTCCATCAAGGACAACTTTTATACTACGATTGGAAAGGAAGGATTCAATAATCTTAAAGATGTTTCCAGACACACCATAAGAAGAAAGCTTATGGAGGAGACCAGCATGCCAAACTTTATCAAACTCTTTACAAATGTCAAGAGCAATGGCCTTAACCTCTCCACCTTTATCTAATGCACGATAAAACCTATCGGTTATTACTGATAGCAAATCAGCCTTAGAACGAGAAGATCGAAATCCATACTGATGATCAGAAAGTAGGTTATGAGATTCGAGATGAGAGATAAAGTGTTTGTTAATTAAAGATTCAAAAACCTTGCTAGAAAGAAGACTAATGGGACGGTAGTTAGATGAGTCAGATTGCTCTCCAGAATTTTTAAAAATAGGGATAACAGATGCTGCTTTCCAGCAGGCTGGAAAACAAGACTCTGATAAGCACTTGTTGAATAGTTTTGAAAAGATAGACGACAGCTCAGGAGAACACTTCTGCAAGACTATAACAGGTATGTTGTCCGGGCCGCAAGCTGAAGAAGAGTCTAAGCGGGAAATCACTTTAGATACAGAAGCTGGAGTGATACGAATGTCGAGCAATGGATCAACCTGTTTGACGGGTATATCAGGTAAAACGCAACTAGTGGCATCAAGATATGATATTGATGAAAAGTTCTTGGCAAACAATTCAGCTTTGTCTTTAGGTGAGGTGACAAAGTCTGAACCGTACAAAAGAGGTGGAATTACAGACTTGCCCTTATTATTGATACTATTAAAGATTCTCTAGAAGTCACAAGAGCCTAATTTTTGTGATGAAATATGAGATTTCATGATCTGAAAATAGCGGGCTTTGGCGTTAGACAAAACCTTTTTACAATGGTTCCTAGCAGTAATAAAGAGACGTCTGTTTTCTGGAGAATTGTTTTGCTGATAGATATGGAAGTAATGGTTTCGATTGGCAATTGCAGCAGCACAATGTGAGGAAAACCATGGAAAAGAGTGAGGCTTGACCTGGAATCGTCGAGAGGGAATAAAGGATTCCATGCCAGCCTGAATCCACGAAGTTATGTAAGAAACACATTCGTCAATAGGGAGACGAAAAATTTATACCCAGGGGCCATCACGAAGAAAGTCACGAAAAGAGTCCCAGTCAGCTTTAAGGTAGTTGTAAGATGTACGATGATAGGGGGATTCTAATGGTAAAGAAGAATGAGATAATAGTTTTAGAGAGACCAAACCATGATCAGACGCACCTAAGGTTGAGTGTGAAGAAACTGAACACTGACTAGGATCAGAAACAAGACATAAGTCAAGTAGAGAAGGTAAATGATTCGGGTTGGAAAGCGAGTTGGAAAGTTGACTATTTGAGTTAGGGATTGAGAAAGACAAAAGTTGTGGGCTTTAATGCCTGCAGAGTCACTGACACTAGAGCCAAGCCATTCAGTGTGAAGAACATTAAAGTCACCGATAACAACAATATTGGCTGATGGATAAAGAATGAGGGCTTGGTCAATATAATCAGAAATAACATCAAGAAGAGTGCAGTCTTGGGATGAGGGAGAGCGATATAGAACCAAGAGAAAGGTGATAGAGTGAAGTGGTGCAAAACGAAAGCACATAAAAGAGTAGTCTGTGGATTCAAACCTAGTTTCCCAACAAATGGGTGAATTCTTACAAATGTAAATGCCCAGGCCAAACATGCGACTATTGGAGTCTTTACGAATTAAAAGAAGATAATCATCAACACTAAGATCACAAGATGAGACAGCTGAACTCAAATTAGCCTCACAAAGAGCAAGCAGGTCTGGTGAACTTTGCAAGAGATAAGACTCAACAGAAGAAAAGTTACTTCGAAGACCACAAATATTGGTGAATGATAGGTTTAGCGAACTTGGTGATGACTGGTTTTTTGTGTTTTATAGTTTTTGTTACTTTATTCATTTTTAAATTTGTTAAAGAACTTGACTCGAAACATTGATAGTACTCAGTACACTGTTCTATAGCTCAAGCAATTGCCTCATTTCCACTAATAAACCCTAAGCCGTAACAAAGGGCTCCAATGTGGCCTTGGCAATGCACACCAAAAGTACAAACAGGGACACCATCCATGCGCGACATGGCACTGTTAGTACTCTGATATTTTTCAGCTGTTGATGGAATCAGCCTCTCTGAGAGCTACCACAGAGTTCGGGAAACCTGACTACCAGCCGGCCTCAGAACCATAAAACTGAGTTTTAGAGCTGTACTCTCATTTGGAGATAAAAGAATGAGTTGCCTAGTCATAAAAACAGAGACACAAGCAAAACCCATGAATCGAGTCAAGAAGATCCAGCGTTCAACGTCCTAAACTGGAAACAATGTATTGAAAATACATCTGCGTCAGCCTAATAGATGACAAAGGGGTGCGAGGCTGGTCAACAGATAGAATCTGTTTACCCCTTAAATATAATTCATATATATATATATATATATATATATATATATATATATATATATATATATATATATATATATATATATATATATATATATATATATATATATATATATATATATATATATATATATATATATATTATATATATATATATAATTTATTGTGAAAAGTTAGTTTGTAAAATATGAAACAATTATTAATAACTTATTATGTTAAATATCACTTAACACCTCAACAAAAAAACTAAAATCTTCTTTTTATTTGTGTCCGAGTGATTGGACTCAATCATATTAAAACTCTAAGAACATGCCCCTACTTTAGGTTTAATGTTGTTTCCAGGCTCTGATTGTCACAATTTTTTCTAAAATATTCTTTTTTTGCATTAGTAAGATTATTACAAAATTTTATGAAAGCATTATTTCTGGAAATTATCTTTAACTTTCAAATAATACATTTGTATTTAAAAAAACTCATTAAAAATTACAACTTTACAGAGAATTATTTTTTTTATTATTATAGAAAAAATACTATCTACAAATTATTTGATAGTGTACATTAAAAAAAAAAAGTCAGAAATAATCAAAGAAGATTATTTTTAGAACGTTTAACTTTGACATGATTGGGGATACAATTAATTTTAAAGCTGAAAATATTCCATTATTTATTTTGCTTCACTGTTTCACCAAGTTAATGAAAAGGATATTGGACATTTGGACAATGGCTACACTAGGACTCAAAAAATAATATTTCTTTTTTACACTGACCATTTAGAGACAGGAAGACAATATATACTGCCTATATGATATTGTATTATATAATATAATATAACTGTTATAAATATAATTCATAATAAGCAAATGAGCAGCATTGTTTTTCACTCCTATGGATACTAATTGTTAATTTTTTTTTTTAAGCTAATTTATGGAAAATTATGTTTTATTATACATAATATTTTTTGTTTAAATTATTTTATTTTTGCTGACATGTTGTGTTTTTTTATTTCTATACATTATTTTTATTATATCACATCTATAACAAAGATTTTACATTGTATTTAAATTTATTATTATAAAGAAAAAATTTATGATAGTAAATAGTATTATATATTAAAATTAGAAAATTATTTAAATTAGTAAATTCTATTAAATAATAAAAAAACTCTGAATAATTTTGGTAATTAGAATAAATAGTATAAAACCATAAAAAAATTGTTAATTTGAATATAAAATAACAATCTGAAACCATAACAATCTTTAGCTTAAAATAAAAAATTACTTGACAATTTAAAAAATAAAAAACACTGCATGTTTATGATTGGCAGGGAAAACATTTATAAAACCATTACAATTCAATTCATTACAAATTAGCTTTTTATACTTTGACAAATTACAAAGCACGATAAAAACAAAATTTGATTAAAAACAAAAATAAATAAAACCAAATTTCTTTATCATCAAACTTTACAACTTTTCCCTAAATTTTCTAATTTTTTTTTTAGTATTTAACAACAATAAAACCAAAAATTGGAAAATAATTTTTAAATGAAAATTTATTGGTGAAAAAATTAAAATTTTATTTACTTCCTAAAAGCATTTTTTTCTTTTCAAAAAAAAAAGAAAAAACCAGTATTATTGTTTAAAGTAATTAAAATACTCACTTGAGACTGGTTTTCCTGTTATGACTTCAACAAGATCAGTTTTCCCCAGATCTTTAAGTACAATTGTAAAATTTTCTAAATTATCTGGTCCAAGATAATTGTTCATTTCTAAGACTCGAATAAACTCAATTGGTGATGAAACTTTTTCAAGGACAGCATCTCCAATTTCATCTGTAAAGATGTATTTTAAATGTTTCATGTCCGAATCGGTCAACCTTTTTGAAACTTCTAGCATTTTACGCTTGTAGCTTATTTTATCCATTTTTTTTTCGGAAAATAAGCTAAGAACCTAGCTTTAATTGTACAAACAAAATTACTGTGACAATGATTTTTCAACAATAGTAAAATAAAAAACAAATTACAGAACACAATGATAAGATATATTAGTAATGAGCATTATTGCTGTCAGTGCTATATTAATATTAGCACTTATATTTAATCAAATTATAAATAAAAAATATGTTATCTTATCATTGAAATTTTAATCTAATCTAATTTTTTTAAATGCTAATTTTGCATTAAATATGATTTATTTTAAAAGTTTTTAATTTATGTAATTTTCAATCATTTAGTAATATTTTTTAAAAGTATACATTTTTTTAAAGTATTCAAATTAAAATAACAGATTTGAATCAAAATGTAATGTTGTATCCTATAAATTACATTCTATATATTGAACTTTATAACAGTAAGAAAAACTTAGACAAATAAATCTTATACAAAGAAACAATTAAAATGATTTTTAAGATGATGCAAATTAACTTCTTATCATTTAAAATATAATAAAAACAAAAAACCTGATTAAAATCGAATTAAATACCCTGTAAATAATTGAGAAAGTTATTAAATAGTTATCAAAGTATTCAAATAAATAGTTTAAAACAAGATATAAGACAGAACATTATTTTTATATAAGATTAAACATTTTTTAAAGTTGTATTGTGGCAATATTTTTACTGCAATGAAACTTTATTTGGAAAGTAATTTTATTCGGTACTAATATATCATACCTTATGGCAAATAATAAAAATAAATAACAATAAATTACTAATTATTATTTATTTAATTAAAATAGAACTTCTAATATTATGGAGAACTATTATTATTATAAGGATATAGAAATATTAGGAACTAATAATATCTTAATTCCTAATTTTATAGTATAATAACAATAATAGCAATAGTAATAATAACAATAATAATAACAATAATAATAATAATAATAATAATAATAATAATAATAATAATAACACCATATTCATTCTTAATAAATACTATTCATTCCTAATATTTTAATATCTTAATGCTATTTGTTTTCCATATAATAAATTTTCTAATTGAATTATTATTTTTTACCTATAAAATATTTTTTTTCTAAATAATCTTAAAAGTAAAGGATGCAAACATAATATTTGTACTCAACTTTTAGGACTGCAAATAATTATATAAAACCATACAAGCCATGAAATTTGAAGTTTACACTAAACAAACCACAATCGGTGAAATTGAAACTATTCTTATATTAAAAAAAAGCCTGATTCTTACAGGTATGAATTATTAATTACTTATATTATTTTGATATTTCTCTTAGCTTCCCGTCCTTTTTAGCCTTCTTTAGAATGACCAAATGTACGTTTACTAATATAAAGAAATCAAAGACCTAATAGGTTTTGGCTGATGTTGCGCATGCGAAACTTTTATAAAAGTTATAACCAACTTTGGGATCATCCCTCGCTAAACCTCAACGTCACCAGATTGACAATTGTACACCAGATTGTACACTTTAACATTTATATTAAATATTTAGAAATCATTTAAAAACACAATAATTAGAGTTAAAAATCTTTAAAACAGTATCAAAACATATTACAACTTAATGAGTAGTATAAAGGTTATGAATCAAATTGGCTTCGACGTCACGCCGTGTCATGCCGAAAAGGCTACGATATTAGCAGAAGTGCTTTATATACTCGGTTGATACCAAAACACAGCAACTTATTTGAAGAAAAGAAATATCTCCACACGGTTCCAATCAAACAGATGCAAGCCCAAAACGATCTTCATTCAAGTCACGTGGGTGATCCATTATGTGCAGCAACTATAAGTTGCTGTTAAATGTGGAAGAAGTTGGCTCTTTTTTAGGCCCCAAAGATTTTTTCTTTATAATTCAAGACACTATAGTTTGGATTCTGATTGGAATTATCACTGCTAACAAACAAGCTCCTATATTGATGCATCTAGAATATCAAGTTTCTCTTCCTAATCATGATTAGGTCATCGCCGCAAAGCACAAGCTTATCCCGTCTCTCTATGCAAATATTGAAATCAAACTAGATGGGTTGCAAAATCTGACGCAGTTTCCTATTTTGGTCCCACTTATATTGCTGTTCGATCTAAAAAACCATTCATCGTTGAAAGCGTATGCTCACAGATTGGACTTTGAACGACTTTAGGCTATGCCAGAGTTCGGTTCCATTACAAAAGATTCTTTGACCAAGTTGGTTAAGCCAGTGGTGGACTTCATGGTTGATTTAACGGAATTGATTCTCCCTCATGATCATCAGGAAACTCATCTAGATTCTCAAGGAATTTAAATACATTTTTAAAATCAACTCTTTATTAAAATACAATAAATATTACAAGACTTGAGGAATTAATTATCTGTATTGCGACTTATATTTAAGGTAAGACAGTGGATCTTCTTTTGGAGAAAACATGATTTTGATTTTGCTGGAAAGATCTATGCCTCGATCATTTTAGGTATGATTGATCAGTTTTCAACGGTCGTTGAGTATATCGATCGAGACGGCAAGACGGAACGCGATGCTCTTCATCTCTTATCGAAGAACCAGGACTGGTTAGCCTTTCATGTTCGCATTAGCCAAGATTTCACGCAAATAGTAAAATGTGAGGATCCCGTTCTTTGAAAAGAAGCTCTTGTTTTCATGTTATTCCCGGTCAATTTCTGCCTTTATCTATTCCAATTTGCCAGTCAGAAGATGACTTAAAAGTTGTAGTCGTTTCAGACGTCACCAGCAAGAATCGTTTTCATTCTGTACTATTTCTTATTGTCTCTAATATTCAGATCACCATTCCTCGATCATTGAAGAAGGAGTCCCAAATTTATGACATCCTTTTCATTATAAAAAAAAAGAACAACCGGTGATATAGAGGAGGGAAGGGGTCAAAAATTGTCAGAAAAATAGTGACATCCTTTATGGACAGCCCCTATAGAAAATTTTAATTATTAGCCCCTATAGAAAATTTTAATTATTTTTTTTTTTAAGTATTAAAATCATTCAGCACCGTGGCTCACGATGTCACAATGGCAAATTTTGGGTTAATCTCCAACTCCATTGTCCTTCAGTTTACGCAAAAATTTGCCCGTATATATTAAAATTTAGTTAAAACATTCACAAAACTAGATTAAAATACAGATAAAAACACACGATAATAAGCAGGGATGCAGAAGCTCTAAAAGCATAATAAAGCTAATGGATAAATATAGAGGAAAAAGAAGGCTTTTAAATTAGAGTAACAATCAAATTATGAACACAGAGTTCTTAGGTATAACTCCAGCAAAGACTTCATGACTCAAGACTTCATTTAAATTTCATGAATTTATAATAAATTTATTATGGACCTCATGAACTCAGGACTTCATTAAATCTCATGAACCTTTTTCTTATAGCAGATCATAAGTCAGTCAACATGTTTAAAGCTTCTGAACATTAGAGATTAGGAAAAAATATAGATATAAAGCCGGAGTTCTTTTGGAACATTGCATCCCTGATAGTAAGTGTTTTTATGCGCAATTTTTACCTTTTTATTGTACTGCACTACCGTCTCTTAAAATTAACCAATCATCTTTTTACCTTTTTATTGTACTGTATAATGATTATGGGAATAAAAGTTGTATTTTTTTGCTCAGATTCCTAATGATTGGATTTTTTTCCTGCTAGTTGTGTAATTGCGAGGAAAAAATCACCTGTAATTGGGAAAGTCACTCGTTACATAGTTTTATATAGTAAAATAATACTTAATAGATCAAATTAAGGAAAAACTTTTCCCTATTATTATCAACAAAAAAAAATTAAAAAATATGTCAACAACTCAAAAGAAGTGAATATAGAAATTAAAAAAAATGTTTTTTTAATTATATTTAGTAAATATAATTTATTATATTATATTTAGTAATTATATTTATTAATTATATTTAGTAAATATAACTTATAAATATAATATATAAAATAAATTAATTATATTTAGTAAATATAATTAAAAAAAACCTTATCCATTACAAAACTTTTAGTAGTAGTAGTAGTAGTAGTAGTAGTAGTAGTAGTAGTAGTAGTAGTAGTAGTAGTATTCACTGCCCTCATGCTACGAATTGCATGCCCTAGCGCTACGAAATTTCGCCCTCGTGTCACGTTTTTGCCCTCATGTTACGCGGAATGCCCTAATGTTACGCAAATTGCCCTTATGTTACAAGTTTGCCCTCATGTTACAAAAAACCCGTTGCATGAGGGCAAAAATAGCCCGGATGTTACGCTAAATAGTAGCATGAGGGCATTCGGCTTAAAACTTTGATTTTATAGGATTAATGTGTAAGCGAGCAAATTGGTAGATTTTAAAATGGCAGAGTTTAATGTATCAGTGGGACGTTTGATTAAGATTGATATAGTAATAAATTAGCATTGAAATATAGTTAGAACGATAACATATTAATAAATAATAATAATGTTGAACATGTATGCAATCATATTTAAAATAATTCAAATAATGATATTGGCGATATATTAATTAATTAAGATTGATAGTAAAGTTAGCTAGCTCTAGTCTCTGTTAGTAATCTAATTAGATTAAGATAATCTAACGTTATTATCAAACTTTATTATCTACAATAAACATTTATTGGTACCTCAGGTAGTACTTAATTTGTTATTAAAATGTTATTAAACTTTGTTTTGGCTAAATATACTAATTAATAAATTACTCAAAAATACAGTACTGTTTCATTAGTATTGTTCTAAATTAGCATAGAACTGACATCAGTGAGAATCTCAAACTTTGAGATCTCACTGACACAATACCTTTGAATCGAATTTATTATTGTCACAATGCCGTTAACATATCATATGCATATAATGTGTGTATCAAGCACACATTACTAATGTCATTAGTAATGTGTGTTTGATACACACATTATATACATATGATATGTTAAAGTCATTGTGTAATGTTATTACATACATATGATTTACATACACTGTATGCACATCATATGTATATAATGTAGAATACATTACATACAACATAGTACCTTGTATAGTATTTAGGTAACAAATTGTTAGTTATTATACTAATTAATAACACCTTTGACAAAGTTCAAAGGTTTGTTCAAAGGTATTATTACTTTGCAATTGTTATTAAAGTTAATAATAATATCTTAAAGTTTGAGATACCTAATGATGTAAGTTCTTATGTTTTTTAGTTCTATAATTAATAAAATATCATAAATAAATCCTAAATCTTCTCAACATAAAAAGGTCATAAGTTTTTCTTCAGATTTTATGTTGAAATACAAAAAAGTTTTCCATTTGAAATCATTTCAATAAACTTAACTTAACATTTAGTAATAAATACATTCTCTCCAAAACTGATCATAAATAACTTGTGCTCTCAAGTGTAATAATTGTTACGTTAATTTTCTATATTGAATAAAGGTTTTTAAAGTTCGATAAATAATTCTATAAATAAATTAATATAATAACTATTTATATTTTAAGACTAAAGAATTGATTAAAAATGTTAGAAGAAAATATTTTAACACCAAAGTGTGTACTGTGTAAAAGATTAATAGATAACTCATGTAAATGTAACTTATGGAAAAACGATGCTTCCAAAATTTGTAAGGCTTGTGCAGGTATTAAATTTATTTTGTTTGATTATTTATTATATTTGCTTAAATACACAAGCTAATCTATTGTTTATCTACAGATTCTTCATGCTGTATTTCTTATCCTGATAATGTTTTAATAGTTGAAAGAGGTATGTATTTGCACATTTAGGACATTGATTGTAATTTGGGAGATATTATCGTTTTATATTGCATATTTTCATAAAATATTACTGTATATATTACCGGTTTTAAATATATTTAACTAGAGTTTAGACAAAAATTGTTTCCTACGTTTATATATACATATGTATATATATATATATATATATATATATATATATATATATATATATATATATATATATATTTATATACATTTAAAAAAATAATAACACTTAATCTATAATATAGATTAAGTGTTATTATTTTTTTTTAGCATTTAAAAAATTTACAGCCCAATCAATAGTAGAAATTTCATCTTCATCATTACTCGTGTCTATTTTCTCTGGTCAAGTATGTGTTTTTTATTAAATTTTAATAAATTTGGGGATTCAATATTTATGTATTTGGCCTACTTAAAACCATTTATGTATTGTTCTATACCTCTGTGTGCATTTTAGAGATTGTTTTTTGTTACTTTTTTTTTAGAAAATGTTCAAACTTTTTTATTCTTTTCTAGCTTTATAGTTACAGACACAACATTTATAATTCTGGCGGGAAGGCAAAAAGTAAACATGTAAAGTTTTATATTTTATAATAAGAATAAGATAAATAGATGGTAAATAAATAGTTTTAAAATTTTTCATAGTTATTTATTTATTTCCAATTATATTTTATAGGAAACCTTATAGACCAAGACTTAATGTACCTTTTATCCGAGGATATAAAAGACAATCTTATACACGCTATTTCTAAATCATTTAATAAATAAATAATCTTAAAGGTAAGGAATGAATTTTTTATCAATAAATATATACATAATTTTATTCAATATATAATATTAAATATATATATATATATATATATATATATATATATATATATATATATATATATATATATATATATATATATATATATATATATATATATATATATATATATATTTATATATATATATATATATATATATATATATATATATTATATATATATATATATATATATATATATATATATATATATATATATATATATATATATATATATATAACTCCAAACTTTTGTATGTTCATTCTTGCGTCAAATGAGAGTGTTTTGTAAAAAGTTGTGGTGATTGCAGCTTGGGGACAAAAAAAAACCAATTTTTGGGCCCACCCAGCCCTTAACAAGGGAGCAACAAGTTAATAAAATAATTTTTTTAGTATTTTTATCTAAGTTAATATTCATCAACAAATTTTAAATTTCATCCAATAATTTCTTATTTTTCGAAAATTATGACCATATAAAGTTTTAACCCCCCTCAATTTGAGGAGGCTGTAAACTTTGTAGGGTCATAAAAACTAAAAACTAAGAGGTTATTGTATGAAATTTGAAATTCATTGATGAAGATAAACTTAGATAAAGATACTTAAGAAATTATTTTGTCAACTTGTTGATTCCAGGTTAAGAGCTGGGTGGGCCCGAAAATTGGTTTTTTTTTGTCCCCAAGCTCAAATCACCACTTTTTGATAAACATTCTCATTTGACATAAGTATGAACATACAAATGTTTGGAGTTTGATAAATACGTGTAAGTGTCAAAACTCAAACATCTAAAAATCCAGTGTACACCACTGTATATATATATATATATATATATATATATATATATATATATATATATATATATATATATATATATATATATATATATATATATATATATATATATATATATATATATAAATATATATATATATATATATATATATATATATATATATATATATATGTATATATATATATATATATGTGTATATATATATATATATATATATATATATATATGTATATATATATATATATATATATATATATATATATATTTGTAAGTTTACATTTATTTTTCCATGCTTGTGTGGTTTCATCTTTTTGGCAAAAAGGTACTGGTAAATCGTGTCTAAACCCAACAATTGTTAGAAAATACACCACAACTTTAGTACATGATAAGTATCCTGAGCTTAAGCAAAATACAGCTCATTTGCTATGCCATAATGTTACCACAGCCGAAAAATCATATGCCATAGCTGAGAAAAGGAACAAAGTCGCAGAAACTAGTAAGCAAATTCGAGAGGTCCAGAGAGAAACATATGCTGACAATCAAGCACCTTCCTTAAATTTGATTTTTGAATCTGAACTTTTATGGGGCAGTATAACATTGCCTGAAGTCCGTGAAAAATTTAATCAGTATTCTCTTGGTGATATATCGGATAGTAAAAAGGTGAAAAAAATTCTAGATGATGTGCGCTATTTAATTAAAAAAAATAAAGCATCTGATGATGATTCGGATTTTAATCTTAAGAACTGTTCAGATTTTGAAAATGATAAGTTTACAATTGATAACCTTTCATACAACAAACACAGTGATATTGTCCCATCTTCACCTACTACGTCATTGTATTCTAAAACAAGAAATCGGAAAGAGTATAGCCAGGAAGATTTAACTTTAGTTAATAAGCATTTAAAGCAGTTTATCGATTCAAACACAACATTGTTAAAAAAAGAAGTGCAACAGTATTTAGAATCAGTGCCAGAGTGCAATCCGCTACTAGAAAAGTTTGGCTTAAGATCGTTAATTATTAAAACTCGTACAGAAAAAGGAAAACATTAGATATATTTACCTTTGTACTTTGGTTTGGTTTTTTGGTGATATATATATATATATATATATATATATATATATATATATATATATATATATATATATATATATATATATATATATATATATATATATATATATATATATATATATATATATATATATTAAACTATTTTTCTTCTAGTGTGTTTATAAATATAGAATATATCTTTAATCGGTACAATTCTTTTTTTTAATTAGTTTTTTAGTTTCATGATGTTAAATGATAATGAAGTAAGATAATTAACAGGTTCCCTAGTTATTGGTCGTGATAGGTCCTCGTCTATGGAGTACATTCTCATAAAAATTGTTTTTTTTTTCATGTCCCTATCAAATAGAGAAATTTTGAAACCCTCTAAAAACCCTCTCTTGAAACCCTCTAAAAATGTAAAACTGTAAAATAATAATTTAAAAGCAAATAATAGGCGCGAATTAAAATTCAAGTTTGCATATCAACATTAATAAACAAGTTAACTAGACGTAATTATGACCCTTGATCTCCTTCTCCCTCTGGTGTCGTCGACCCTGTCCAAATTAAGATTGATGTCAAAGAATGAATAAAGGTAAATTCTGTGCTCTACTAAAACCAGCCAGGCGGCTTTCATATGAAAGCTCACTGTAATCGTCTTACAAAAACTTTTTTTTCAAGATTTGATTAACATCTAGGCATAAATGCTTTCATCTGAGAGTTTTTTTTCAAACTTCCTTATCCACGTGCGTCAGTGTTGCCTAAATTTATTATAAACTTAATCCTAAACTTAAGGCCGCAAAGATTGATTAAAATTCTTTTAGACTCCGCGCTTGAAGAAGTCAAACAAAAAATGTAATGTTTTTTTTACGTTGAATATTTTTTTTCTTGTTATCTAGATTATCTGGATCATCGTTTGAGTTTGGTGTGCTCTTTATAAATCTTATTAGACTTGACTTGATTATACTATAGCTTGAATTTACTAAAATTAAATTTGTTTACTGTCGAATACGTTATTTTTTTGTTTTACAGTCGCTCACAATAATTATGTTATAACAACAATTCATTTTTATAACCAGGGCCTTCGTTTTTATAACCAGGGCCGCCGAGAGCCGTAACATAGCAGGGGACAGCAGCCCTGATTAACGCCCATATTTATCAAAATTTTTCTATATTATCGGTGAAGTACCTCTTAAATTTATTTTCAGGTACCTTTTCTTTTATTTGGCACCATCTTGGACATCTGCCGCCCGGGAAAAACTGTCCCTTTTGCCCCCTCTTCACGGCAATCCTGTGTATAATCATCTACATTGCAAATAAAATTGTAATAAGTGAATTCTTTTATCTTAGGAGATATATTTTTTTCCTTTGTTTTTTTAATTTATTAATTTCCATAACTTGTTCGGCTGTTCAGCAATCAGCTTTATAAAAGGAGTTAAACAATTTGGTGATGCGCATTACAGGTCGCGATTTCAGGCATTTATATAATGTTGTTAAAGTATTAAACCAAAAAACTATAGTTTCAAAACATAGCAACCTAGGGATTCTCTTTTATTTTGCTAATTCTTATGTGAACAAAATTTTTGTACAATCCTAATATTTGTCATAATTCAACACTTTTACTTTAGAGAGGGGCGGGTTACTTTGTTTTGCATTATCCACTCCTCACCCCACCAATTGTTTTTTTGACTGTTATTATATGTAGTTTAATGGCTTTTAAAATTTCACTTATTGAAAATCCACACATAAGAAACGTTTCATTGGATTAAAGTTTACATCAAAAAATCTTTAGTATTTAAATGTAAGAAAATACCGTAGCCCTCATGCTACGCAAAAAAAATATTGGAAAATTAATTTAAACACGTTTGCTATTACATATAATTAAAAACTTTTATATATTTTTTGTGCAAATAACATCAAGATAAAAACTTCATAAAAGGAAAACCTTACTTACTTTTGGTTACATAGTTGTACAAATTAGGCTATTTTGCATTGAAAAAATTCAGAACTCAAAATTAAGTTCACCACAACTTTAAATAAGTTTCCGTGAACTTTTTGGACGATGAAAAAATCTAATTTTCAGTAGTAGCAAATGAAATACTTGACTAAAAATCGTGGAATTTTGTGATAAGTGTGGGGAATTTGTTCCTTTTTAAGAAAAAAATAACCTTTTTATGACATATTATGAAAATTCACTAATAATCCGAAAAGCCCTTACGTTACGCATTGCTACAACTACTGTCATTTTGTGTACTAATTTTCTATCGTAACCATAAAAAATTTGATTTTTTTGTTAATATTATAAAATTATAAGATAGATTTTGTCAAAAACATTTAAAAAAATTAGACTTTTCAAAATTTGTCTCTCCCATTTTTACGCTAGACTGTTTAGTAACATGAGGGCTCGCGAGCGGAGTTATAGTAGTAGTAGTAGTAGTAGTAGTAGTAGTAGTAGTAGTAGTAGTAGTAGTAGTAGTAGTAGTAGTAGTAGTAGTAGTAGTAGTAGTAGTAGTAGTAGTAGTAGTAGTAGTAGTAGTAGTAGTAGTAGTAGTAGTAGTAGTAGTAGTAGTAGTAGTAGTAGTAGTTGTAGTTGTTGTTGTTGTTGTTGTTGTTGTTGTTGTTATTGTTGTTGTTGATGTTATTATTATTATTAATATAATTATTATTATTGCTATCATTGTTTTTGTCTCAACAAAAGTTTTTCAAGTTTTTAAAAATGTAATCTAAATAATTTAGGTTACATTTTTAAAAACTTGAAAATGTTTTGATGAGTACAATCATCTTAAATCTTTATACAAATATTAAAAAAAACTTAACAAAATATTAAAAACAAATATTAAAAAAAAGAAATATTAAAAAAGAAACTCAACAAAAGTTTACAATCAACTTAAATCTTTTTACAAATATTAAAAAAGACAAAAACAATGATAACAACAACAACAACAACAATAACAACAACAACAACAACAACAACAACAACTACTACTACTACTACTACTACTACTACTACTACTACTACTACTACTACTACTACTACTACTACTACTACTACTACTACTACTACTACTACTACTACTACTACTACTACTACTACTACTACTACTACTACTACTACTACTACTACTATTACTACTACAGGTTTTGGAATGGATAAGGTTTCAAAAAAACCGCATTTATAAAAAACCGTAGTTAACCGTGGTTTTCGGTTTTTCTTGTTAAATAATAAAACTTAAATAAGTTTTAATATTAAATCATTGTTTATGATATAAGTTATTTAAACAAATTTTTTATGAAATAAGTTATTTAAACTAATTGTTTATGAAATAAGTTATTTTAAACAAATTTTTATGAAATGAGTTATTTAAACAAATTGTTTATGAAATAAGTTATTTAAACAAAGTTTTTCTAACAAAATGTTTATATTTCGATAAAGTATTTTTCAATGGAAGAACTTAAGGATCTTTGAGGCACCTTAGCAACTGCATAACATTTCCATTAATTCTTTCATCGACGCATTTTTTAACATTTGAATGCAATATGTTTAATATTTGAATGCAATATTTTTTAACATATGAATGCAATATGCGATTTGTATTCATAGCAAGCATGAAACCCAGAACAGTATCTACTGTCAGTAACGTTGCATCTTCTTGGTTAAAGAATTCTATTGTTTGTTTTGCTGGCTTTAAATGCGGCATGTAATGAAGCAAATGACTCTAAAGCGGCATGTAATGAAGCTAATGACTCTAAAGCGGCATGTAATGAAGCTAATGGCTCTAAAGCGGCATATAATGAAGCTAATGACTCTAAATCTAGCTTGTTGATCACATCAAGAGCATTTAATTAAGTAAATGTCTGAAATAATTATTTCTTAGTTTTTAACAAAGGTGCATTCATTGAAAAAAGTGATTTCTAACAATGACGAACATCCGGATGCAGTTCCATTTCTTTACCAAATTCCTCAGTAACTTTCTTACAAAATATTTGAACGAAGTTTACTTCCATATTCAGTCTTTTTCCTTGTATATTGGTGCGTTTGTGTCTTTATTTTTGTTGTATAACGTGTCACATACACCAAGTTGAGTAGCATGATTAAAGCAAAACTGATCTACAATGTCCGTTAATTGCATGAGCTTCTTGTTTATTGCTGCGCTACCTTGAGTTGAACCTACTACATCTCTTTCCATACATAAACAAAATGAATTCAAATGATCCTTAACATTTTGTATTAAACTTTTAGCTGGACAGGATCCATAAATCCTAATGAGACTAGTTTTATAAGTTTTCTTACAATCACTTTCATGCAGGTTTACACCAATGTACCTTGATGCGTTAAGCTGAATGTCCCATTTGAACTTTTTTAATAATTTATTGTTTCATCACTTCCTTTTTATCAGGAAAATCTTTTAGGAAGATGATTTCCTCTTTGTTGAATTGATGAGCGAATAAATTTGTTGTTAGTTATTGTATTAATCGAAACACCATCTGTAACAAGATTAGCTACAATTTCTTCAAGGCTCGTTTTTTGTAAACAAGTGTCCATTTTTTTGATTTTTTTTTCTGGTTGTGTTTGAATTGCTGCTTGATTCTCCAGTCAAAGGACTATTGATTGTGATTCCACGATGCAAATTATGATTCCACAAAGTAGTTGTGGATCCACCGGAGCATGTTATAACAGAACAGCATCTATTACAGATGTCTTTAAAGGCATCTTCGAAGGCAGAGATATTGATCAACATCTCTTAAATTTGAAATCTTACGCCGGGCAGCAAATTTCCAAACTAATTACATGATTTATCTGGAAGATTAATATATTTTCAAAAAATTAAATAATTGATAGAAGATTGTCGAGAATTATTTTTATTATATACCTATACGTTAATATTTTGTTGAACCAAAATATACATAAAAAATAACCTCATGTTTTTTTAAGGTATAAAAATATTTAATATAAAGAATAGGTCATCCTATTTGAGTATTCGAATACTTTATATTCAAATATATTTGTGTGTTTTATTTGATATTCAAACTTTTTTTTTTTGAATACTTGAATAATTTTAAAAGGGAAAAGAAATATTAAGTTTTCTAACAAAATACAATCTAAAAAATAAAATAAAAT